CTGATTCCTGTCCCCAGTCCTCCCCAGCTCCCAACAAATCCAGGTCCCCTCCTTTCCTGGCTGCAGGACCCCAACCGGTCCCTATCCCTCTCTGAGACCCCTTTGCTCCTCTATCAAATGGCCATCATGAGTGACACCTGCCTCCCAGGGCTGGCTCTGAGGACCCCTGAGGGAGGCATCTGGCAGAGACGGTGCTGAGTGATGATAAGCTGTTTAGTTGCTGGGTGGCCACTAAAAGCCTCTGAGCTTATGCAGAGACCGTTGGGCGGGGTGCTGGGGTGCAGCAGTGAGACACCAACAGCAAGCCTGGTCCTCCGGGCCCAGGGGCCACACCTGCCTTCATGATGACTCGCTCCTGGAAACTCAGTCATTTCAGGTTTGGCGAAGTGCGCAGAGAGGATAAAGAGCCGCTTTTTGCTTTTTAAAGATTTTTCAAATTGATTATTAGAGAGAGAGGAAGAGGAAGAGAGACAGATAAAAAAAAATCAATGTGAGAGCAGAACACTGATAGGCTGCCTCCTGTACCCCCGCCCCCAAACCGGGGATCAAGCCTGAAACCCGGTATGTGCCCTCACCAGGAATCCAACCAGCAACCTTTTGGTGCATGGGATGAGCCAGCTGAGACTCCCAAGGCCAGGGCTTTGTTTTTATAATGGTGGTAAACTACACATAGAAAACTTACCATTTTTTTCTCAACCATTTTTAAGTGTACAGGTCAGTGGCATTAAGTACGTTCACCTGGCTGTGTAAACATCACCACCAGCCATCTCCAGAAGTGGGGCCTAATTTTCCTTGGTAGAGGTTGGGGCAGTCAGAGAAAGTTCTTCCCTTTTTGTAATGAGCTGGACATTTCATATCAATGGGCTCATCCACAATGTGTCTTCAGTGTCTGGCTTCTTTGAGCATAGTCTGTTCAGGGTTCATCACCTTGTAGCAATATCAGAGCTTCCTTCCTCTCTATGGCTGAGTCATATTCCCTCGTATGGATGGGCCACATTTTAGTCATCCATCCCTCTATTGATGGACATTTGGGGTGCTTCCACCTTTTGGTGATTGTGACTAGTGCTACTATGGACATGTGTGTACAGTTATGGAGTCCCTGTTTTCCATTCTCTGGGTATATGGATAGGAGTGGAATTGTTGAACCAGATGGCAATTCTCTAACTTTTTTGTTCTTGTTACTCCTCACCTGCGGATATTTTTTTCCATTGTTTTTTAGAGAGACGGGAAGGGAGGGAGGTAGGGGGAGAGAGAGAAACATCGATGTGAGAGAGACATATCGATTGGTTGCCTCCCTCACACACCCCACCTGAGTTCAAGGATTGGACCTGCAACCCAGGCACGTGCCCTAAACTGAGAATCAAACCCCCGAGACCCTTTAGTGCAGTGGTTCTCAACCTTGGCTGCACATTAGAATCACCTGGGAATCTTTTTAAAATCCTGATTTCTGGGCCTCATCCTCCTGAATTTCAGTTTCTTTGTTATGGGGTGGGGCCACAACATTAGTAACAAAGAAACTGAATATCCGGAGGATGAGGCTCAGATATCAGGATTTTAAAAAAGATTCCCAGGTAATTCTAATGTGCAGCCAAGGTTGAGAACCACTGCTTTAGTGGTTGGGCCAATGCTCTAACCCAGTGATGGCGAACCTATGACATGCGTATCAAAGGTGACACGCAAACTCATTTTTTTGGTTGATTTTTCTTTGTTAAATGGCATTTAAATATATAAACCCAAGACCCTTTAGTGCTTGGGCCAATGCTCTAACCACTGAAAACACTGGCCAGGGCAGCTGCAACCTTTGATGTTCCCACCAGTAATGTAGGAGGACTCCAGTTTCTCCACATCTTCCCTAACACTGTGTTTTTGTTGTTTTCAGGAAGGCCTTGTTTTGGGCCTTTGAAATCCAATGCTTGGAACTTCCTCAGTTCCTCTTTCTCACCCACATCTGATCTAGGAGCAAGCCTTGCCCACCCCACCTTCAATGTTATTCAGAATCTGGCTTTCCCCACTCCCTCAGCACCCAACCAGCCTCAGCTCCCATCATTGCTGGCTTAGAGGTGCAGTCACCTCCTCCCTGAGCTGTGGTTTCCACCCTCAACCCTGCAGTCTCTTCTCTGCCATAGCCTCCAGAGGACACCTGTGAACATCAGAGTCAGGGCATCTTCCTCCTCTGCTCACAGCCTTTCAGAGCTCCTCCCTCACTCAGGATAAAAGCCAGCCCTCCTTGTGGCCCACCAGGACCTGCACAATCACCTTGTCACCTTCCTGTCCTCACCACCCCGCCCTCCCACTCACTCCACTCCAGCCACATGGGCCTCCTCTTTACTCTCCCTCAAACACACCATGCAGTTGACCCCAGGGCCTTTGCACTGGCTATTCTCTCTTCCTAAAATATTCTTCCCCAGGTACTGCATAGCTCCACCCCATCCTTCAGGCATTTATTCAAATGTCTCCTCATCTGAGAGATCTTTTCTGACTATCCTCCCCAAAATAGCAGTCAGTCCTCACCCCATCAACATACCGCATCCTCTTCACCCTACTGGATTATTCTTTATATCGCTCATACCTCCATCAATTATATATTCGTTTCTCATCTGCTAACCCCACTGGAAAACCAGCTCCAAGAGCAGGCTCTTGCCTGCTTTGATCATAGTCCTATCCTATTTCTACAACAGGGCCTGGCACAATATATATTTGCTCACTGAATAGTTGCATAGACATAAGTGTGCATATCCTACATAATGAAAGGCTAATATGCAAACCAACCAAACGGGAGAACGACCAGTTGCTATGATGCACACTGACTACCAGGGGGCAGATGCTCAATGCAAGAGCTGCCCCCTGGTGGTCAGTGTGCCAGAAGCCGGGCTTATGGCTGGTGAGCACAGAGGCGGTGACGGAGCCTCTCCCGCTTCTGTGGCAGTGCTAAGGATGTCTGACTGAGGGACATCCCCCGAGGCTTCTCGGACTGTGAGAGAGCGCAGGCCAGGCTGAGAACGCCCCCCCCCCTAGTGCATGAATTTTGTGCACCAGGCCTCTAGCATGAATATGTGTGTGTGTGTGTGTGTGTGTGTGTGTGTGTGTGTCTGTGTAGTAGGTGCTCAGTAAATACAATAACCGATGTTCACATAACATGTATTATGCACCCAAATGGTGTTCTAAACGAATTCCACTTATTATCACAGAGGTTCCTCTCCTCTATCAGCACTTTCAGCAGGTGCCCTCATTCTGCAGATAAGGAAACTGAGGCAGGGAGAAGTTAAGTTGCTTGTCAAGGTCACACAACTCCAAAATAGGAGAGCTGGGATTTGAACCCAAACAGAGCAGTTGTTGGTATGGCTTGGGCCCAGCCCTATGTACACCTCCCCTTTCTCCCCCATCTCTTCTCACAGTCATTCCAACAGAACCTGGACTGTGGCAGTGCCTACTGGGCAGAGCTGGGTGACCATCCCCCGGGAACAGTTCACCACATCTGATGAACTCCTTGTCTGGGTGGCCGTGGCGGGCCAGCCTCTCTGGCCCCCAGTCTTCGTGAACCTGGAGACTCAAAGTAACAGGCAGGAGGGCGGGTTGCTGTCTAAGGGGTGGGTGGTCCTGAAGCCCAACTCAGTGCCCCCTGTCTTCCCCTCCTCAGTGAAGCCAGGAGCCCCGCAACTGGGCCCTGACGTGGACTTTTCAGAGGATGATCCCCTGGAGGCCACTGTCCAATGGTCCCCACCTGCATGGCCACCCCATAAGGTACTGGTCTGCCAGTTCCACTACCGAAGATGCAAGCAGACGGCCTGGACCCTGGTGAGTGTCTAAGTGCTTTCCCCCAACCCTATTCAGGGCGTTAGCCCCAAGTCAGAGACCAAGCCCAGAGCACATTTCTCACCTGCTCCTGAGTCTGTCTACATCCCACAAAAGACCTGTACATGTATTTTCTTCAACTAAAAAAAATTACCCCCCCCCCCGTCTATAAATTCCATGCAGTCTCAATCCAAATTCCACTTGGAATTTCTGAGAAAAAATAAACTTCTTGTAGCATCTTTATGAATGAATAAAAGTACTCAAGTAGCCTATGTTAACCTTAAAATAAGATCAAGGGCACTTAGCATCATTTTACAGATGAAGAGCAGTGCCTGGTTCTCAGTAAACACTCAAAAAGAATTAATAGCCCAGCTGGCATGGCTCGGGGGTTGAGTGTTGACCTATGAACCAGGAGGTTCCAGTTCAATTCCCAGTCAGGACACATGCCCGGGGTGTGGGCTCGATCCCCAGTAGCAGGTGTGCAGGAGGCAGCTGATCAAGGATTCTCTCTCATCATTGATGTTTCTATCTCTCTCTCCCTCTCCCTTCCTCTCTGAAATAAGAAAATATATATATTTTTTTGAAAGAATTAATAAAAGCAGCCGACATGCTGAGCATCAGGTCTGAGGCTAAGCAAGTAGCATGGGTTATTTTTTTTTTTATTTAAAAAATATTTTTATTGAGCTGTGACCTCCTGGTTCATAGGTTGACATTCAACCACAGAGCCACACTGCCACGCTGGCTGGGCCAGCATGGATTATATTGATAAGAACTTCCAACCTTCCTACATAGCAGATACTTTTAAGATCTTTATTTTATAGTTGGGGAAGCTGAACCTCAGAGAACTTAAGCAATTTCCCCAAACCCACATGGGAAGAAAGTGGGAAACAACCCCAGGACCATGGAGTCCAGAAGGAGTTGTGGGACCCATCCATGCACTATAAGAGCACACCCCAGAAGATGCATGTCATTTCTGTTCATATCTCATTGGCCAGAACATAGTCATGTGGTCTCACCTCACTGAAAAGGAGGCTGGGAAATGTAGTCTTTAGTCTTCATAGCCATGCTCCCAACTACTACTAGGAGGCTGTATTTCCAAAGGAAGCGAGGGAGAATGGATATTAGGGGTAAACAACTGTCTCGGCCTCAGCTTTTGATGCAAAACACAGTGTAGAGCAGAGCTGTCACTTTGATTATTCATACAGTTCAGGGCAATGCAGGCTTTGGAATCTGACCGCCTGGGTACGAGGCTCAGCTCCAGCACTTGCCAGCTCTGTGACCTCGGGCAAGTTGCTCCCTCTCTCCGAACCTCACTTTTCCTAACCTGTAAGGTGGGGGTAATAATAGAATTTACCACCTATTGCTATACCTGGCACATAGGGCCCAATTTTTTTAAAAGAATAGTTTATTGATTTGGAGAGAGAGATGAAGGGAGAAGGAGAAAGATCGATGTGAGAGTATAACATCTATCAGTTAGTTACCTCCTGCATGGCCCCTACCAAGGATCGAGCCCCTGCAACCAGGGCCTGTGCCCTGACCAGAATCAAGCCTGCAACCTTTCCGTACACAGGACAATGCCCAGCCAGCTGAGCCACACCAGCCCGGGAAGGACTGAAGTTTCAAACAAAAGTCCAACGTCTTGGGAACCTTCTCAGTCCCAGGCAAAGCAGAATCGTTGGCCACCCTGATAATATATAAGATCAATTACTGTCTACTCAGCCCTCGGCCTCATTGCTCTGTCCTTCTCTCCCCAGCTGGAACCAGAACTGAAATCCATACCTCTGACCCCCCTTGAGATCCAGGACCTAGAACTAGCCACTGGCTACGAGGTGTCTGGCCGCTGCCGAATGGAGACAGAAGAGGACCTGTGGGGCGAGTGGAGCCCTATTCTGCCCTTCCAGACACTGCCCTCTGGTGAGAGTCTCCTGGCTTACCCCCAGTACCTTTGTCCGCCCTCCTGGAAGTCTGTCTATTCATGCCCCTTCCATTTGTGCCCCTTCCTCATCCAAAAGATGTCTGGATATCGGGGAACCTCTGTGGGACACAAGATGGACAGAAATCCCTGCTTCTGTGGAAGGTGAGTTGTGGGGACCTGTTATATTTCTCAGCATGTGTCAGGAAACCCCCAGATAACAATGATATAAACAAGACAGAGGTTCCTGCCCTCATGAGTTTGCTTCAAGGCTTAAAGGAGGGTGATGATCAGAGACGTCCGGGCACAGGTCGGGCCCAGAGCATGCCTCCATCACCTGGGACCTCAGCTGAGACTTGAAAATGGGAGCATGTGTTCTAGACAGGGAGGCAGAACAAAGGTTTGGAAGCAAGACTAGGCTTAGCTCCACAAAATATAGCAGTGTGCTAAGGGCTCGGATGCTAATGTCAAAAGGACATTATGCGGTAACACACATGGGTACAACAGTCCTCATGGATCCAAATCTGCTCAGTGCCTACTATTTTCCAGGTATTGCTAGGCCCTGGCTCACAGTAAATATAGCAAAGCACAAAACAACAAGGCCCTATCTTCTTTTTAAAAAATATGTATTGAATTCTGGCCAGCGGTGCTCAGTGGTTAGAGTGTCAGCATGTGCCAGAAGCAACCAATGGATGTGTCTCTCTCACATAGATATTTCTTTCTTCTTCCCTCCCTGCTCTCTTCTACTCTCTATGAAAAAAATCAATGGAAAAATATCCTTGGGAGAGGATTAACAACAACAACAAAAATTTATTGAGCATTTACTCTTCTTTTTCCTCCAAATATGTTTTTTTAAGTATATTTTATTGACTTTTTACTGAGAAGAAGGGAGAGGGATAGAGAGTTAGAAACATCGATGAGAGAGAAACACCAATCAGTTGCCTGCTGCACACTCTTTACTGGTATGTGCCCGCAACCAAGGTACATGCCCTTGACTGGAATCGAACCTGGGACCCTTCAGTTTGCAGGCTGACGCTCTATCCACTGAGCCAAACTGGTTAGGATCCCCAAATATGTTTCTATTTACTTTTTTAGAGAGAGAGGAAGGGAAAGGGCTAGAGAGATAGAAACATCAATGATGAGAGAGAATCACTGATTAGCTGCCTCGTGCATGCACCCTACTGGGGATGGAGCCTGCAACTGGGCATGTGCCCTGACCAGAAATCTAACCATGACCTCCTGGTTCATAGGTCAGCGCTCAACCACAGCCATGCCAGCCGGGCTGGAACTGTATTCTAATCCTACCTCTACTGTTAAGCCCCTCTGAGACTCAGTTTCCTCATCTGTAAAGTGGAGCAAACAAAAACCTTTCACTAATGGTGTGTCAGGTGACCTCCACTGAGACACCCAATAGGTGTCTGCTAAATGGGAGATATTAACCCCTTCTTTCCCATATCCCACAGGCCCCCGGGTACTGTGTGCAGGTGAGCTATAGAGTCTGGTTCCAGGCTAAAGGTCAGGACGTGATCCTCCAGGAGACTCCCTGCTGTAGCTCCTCCATCCCAACCCAAGCAGAGTGGGTTGCAGTGTCCGTCGTCAATGCCACAAGCTGGGAGCATCTCACCAACCTTTCTCTGGTCTGCCTGGGTAAGAGGCTGTGAATGTCCTCCACTCAGTGCCCTAGAAGTGCCAGGAGGGGGCCTCCTGAATGGGCAGCTGAGACTTCTTCCCCCTGCCCTTTAGGTTCAGACTCTGCCCCTCGTGGCGTGGTGGTCAGCAGCATTGCTGGGAGCACAGACCTGCTGGTGACTTGGCAGCTGGGGTCCGGGGAGCCACAGGAGCATGTGGTGGACTGGACTCGAGACGGGACACCCCTGGAGAACCTCAACTGGGTCCGGCTTCCCCCTGGGAACCTCAGCGCTCTGTTGCCAGGTGAGGCCCCGCTACACCTGGCCTCCCATCCCAGCTGCTGGAAAGCAGACTGATGGATGGGTATGCAAGAAAGA